GGCATCTTCTTCAGACTTCTAGGCACCTCAGCTCATCGTCTCTGTCCTGAGCACCCCACTCCCTTAGCCTCCAGCACTCTGTTGCAATTGCCCCATTTGTTTGCTCTGCAAATATTTATCAAATGCCAATATCCAGGCGTAGTTACTAAATGCAGCTATGTTTCAGGCAGTGGCCAAAGCATTTGTACTAGCATTACCTCAATTAATCCTCACAACAACTCAAGGAGGCAGGGACTTTTATTATTCCCAGCCTTATTAGGAGGACCTTGATGTTAGAAAGGTGAGGAGATCTGCCCAAGGTCACAGGAAGGAGCTTTAAAGAAAGGAGGCAGGAAGTCTTGTTCCAAAACCCATATTTTTATGGCTACCCGGTACTGGACTGAGGCCTTTGGGTTTTCTTTTCTTCTTCTTCTTTTTTTAATATAGTAGTATTCCTGCTCTGCCTGCCCCCCACACTGTGGGTTTTCTTTTCAAAATATCTCTCTTGTCTTTTCCTCCCCCTTCCCACCCAGACCTTTATCGCCTGGTGCCTGGATGTTGTAACAGCCAGTCACAAATCTGCCTGACCATAAAGGTTCCCCCTCAGCCCCAGTCCATTCTCCACACCATGTGGCCTGCCAATCTCCCTAAAACATCCTCTTCATCTCGTCATTCCTCTGCCATCAAAGAACATATAATCTCTTTGAGAAGAAGGCATGCACATATGAGCCCCTGAGATAACTCTATAATGGCGGTAAATAACAAGAACAGGGAGAACAAAAGGAACTCGAAGGTCACTTTCTGTGAATAAACTGCACAATTATAGACAGGAGTGGACAGGGCAGAAAACCTGAACTTCAGCTGAGCATTGAGCAGGACATGGAATTAGAACGGGAAAGTTTTCTAATAGAAAATGGGGGTCTTACAAGCTGGTCCCAGGCTGTCCTCTCTGCACATCCTACCCCCCTTTTTTAAAATGTATTTTTTTAGTTGTAGATGGACACAATACCTTTATTTTATTTATTTTTATGTGGTATTGAGGACCGAAACCAGTGCCTCACATGTGCTAGGCAAGCGCTCTACCACTGAGCTATGACCCCAGCCCACACCCTATCCTTTGAGATATTCCTACTGCTCCTACTCCACAAGTTCCAATGCTAAACCAGGTATGGCTCTAAAGTGACCTCTGCCCTGTTCCCATTGAATCTCTTCTGGACTGAGTATTTTTCCCACTAGGCTTTCTTTAATGCTTACTTATGCAATTGGGGTGTGTGATCACGACCCTAATTTGACCTTCAGAAGAAAGAGATTTGTGCTTTTTCAGAAGCAGGTTAGCATCGTGGTTGGTAGTATACACCTACTCAGGAGGCTGAGGCAGGAGAATCCCAAGTTCAAGGCCAATCTTGGCAATTAGTGAGATACCATTTCAAAAATAAAAAGGGCTGGGGCTGGGGCTGGGGCTCACTTGCCTGGCATGTGTGAGGCACTGGGTTTAATTCTGAGCACCACATAAAAATAAATAAAGGTCTATCACCAACTAAAAATAAATAAATAACAAGGGCTGAGGATGCAGCTCAATGGTAGAGCACCTTGTACAGAATCCCCATTAGCGAAAATACAAAAACAAACCAGGTTAGGGTTTAGGGTGTAGTTTAGTGGAAGAGTTTTTGCTTAGCATTTGGGAGACCCTGGGTTTAATCTCCAGCACCAAAAACATAAAAAGAAAAGAAAAAGACCCCAACAACGACATCAACAAGGACAACAAGAAGAAAAACAGTGAGAGTCATTAAGAGGCAGGATTTGTGGGTAGTGGTGGTGCACACCTATAATTACAGTGACTCAAGAGTCTGAGGCAGGAGAATCAAGTTCAAGGCCTGTCTTAGCAACTGTTAGAGACCCTCAGCAATTTAAAGCAATCCTGTCTCAAAATAAAAAATAAAAAGGGCTAGGCACATAGCTCAGTGGTAAAGTGCCCTGGAGTTCAATCCTCAGAAAAACAAAAGAGGGGGAGGTTCTTATTTTCTTCTTTATTTTTCAGTACTGGAGATTTTACTCAGAGCTTCGCATATGCTAGGCAAGTGCTCTGCCACTGAGCAATATTCCCAACAAGAGGTACAGTTTTTCCACAAGACTTAAAGACTTCAAGTAATGGCCTTAATTCAATACCTTCTAGGATTGATGTTTTATTATTTGCTCTTTGTTTCCAATACAATATATAATTAAATCTTCACACAATTCTAAGGTTCTATGCTTTGTCCCATTTTGCAGATGAGTTTACTTATATTGAGTTTATGAATAAACTGAATCGCACAGCTAGTAATAGAGGGCTGCTTGTAGAACCCAGGCTCATCTATATCTTTTGGGAAATATTGTTATGGGCAGGTCATTTGCTCTCCCTCCAGTTATGGATGAAAACAATGCATGGGAGAGTTTTTCTCCTTTGCCTGCACCAGCTTGTACAGTGTTCAAATGGAGTGCACCTTCAAGTGGAAACCTCTCTGGGCTTCCATCTCTAAATGAGGCAGTAGCACCAGACTGCCAAACCCTGAGCTCTCCCGGGGCTGACGTTCTGTGATTACTGAGCATTGGTGAAAGAGGGGGGAGCTAATTGAGTGAGTTAGTAATTTGGTTGCCAAGGTAACTCTTTTCTGATTGGAAGGAAGGGATCACAGGGTTCAACGCAGACTTTGCTGGATAGGAAAGTGGTGTCTGATCTTCACTCCATGTTTCAGCTTCTGAGCTGGAAAAAGAAAGGGAAAGAGGAAAATAAAAAAGGATAAAAATTGAATCCAAATATAGTAGCATTTATTCCTAATTTAGAATGAAATCTTAGGATGGCAGACTTTGGAATCCTCTATAATTATAAGGTGTGGCTTTTTTTCCCCCCTAAATTACTTGTTGTTTGTCAATTGACCCACATCAGCTTATTTTAAAAATGTTTTTCATTCGGTTTGTAGCTTTGGTCTTTCATCTCACCTTAGCCATTTTCTGTAGCTAGCTGTCTTCACAGGATGCTGAATATTTTGTAAGAAAATGGATATGGAACACTTGGCATTTCCTAGCTCAGTCTAGGCACCTGGGGAAGAGTTTTCCAGGGTTCCAATGGAACTACCAATTTGGGCAACTGCAAGGGTGTCATTAATATTATACTGTATGTGCAGAATTGTGCAGTGAACAACGATGCTGAATCCTGTAAGATGGTGTCAAGTTATTGGAAAGAGGCTCAACTGTGAGCCCATAGACCTGAATTCCAGACTCAATTTGATCTCTGATTTCATAAATGACTTTGGTGAGTCACTCTGCCCCTCTGCCCTGCCCAATTCCCCAGACTAATTTTGCATCTATAAAATGGTCTAATATGACTGGGGCTATATCTCAATGGTGGAGCACCTGCTTAGATTCCTTGAGACCCTGAATCTAATCCCCAGCTTGTGTGTGTGCCTGTGCATGTGGCGCATGTATAAACATGCATGCACATACGCGCACACACACAAGCCTAATAGCTTTGAAAGATTATTTGTAAAAGTCCTGATTTTTATTCCAAAAAGGACTTTGGGGTGAATAGTAAAACTTGGCAGGAAGTTTTAGAGCTGAACAGTTACAGGATTCAGGATGTCAAGTGACTTATACAAAGTAGGTATTGGTTTTCTCCAGTTTTTCTTTTTCAAGGATAGGACTGTACTGTGTAAACCTTAGGTTAAGTTTGGCTTTAACATTCCAAAAGCCAGCATAGTTAGTGCAGTGACATGGAATCATGTACAGTTGGGGAGGGAAAGCAAGCCCTGGGACCTCTGAGATCCTTCTACAGCTAAGAATCTGAGCTAACTCAGGACCTCATGCTAGGGGTCCTGACTACTTTCTCTGCATGCTCAGTGCCCAGAGGTAGAAACCCACTGTATTGCTGGCAGCTCCTTTCTCAGTTTCTTTTAGAGCTTCCATAATCACTCTTCCCTTGTTGGGTAACATGAGACTGAGCACACCACAGCCCTTTCTGGGCATATAGTGGAAAATAGCTGTCTAGGTGTATTCTGGAGGTAGGTGTTCCTCAGAGACCATCAGCCCCACGTATTTGAGAATGGGACAAATAAAAATGAGTCAAAAAGGGAGATAGAAGCCAACCATTATAGTACTTGCCTGTAATCCCAGCTTGGTAGGCTGAGGGAGGAGGATCACAAGTTCAAGACCAGCCTCAGCAACTTAGCAAGACCCTAAGTCACTAAGTGAGATCCTGTCTCAAAAAAAAAAAGGGCAGGTGTGTGTGTGTGTGTGTTTGTAATAGACAATAAGAACACAACTCATAGAGTACTCTCTCTCTAGAAAACAGTTTTGGCATCTTGGCTTATACTGTTTTATGAATAACTGAGGATCCAGTTAGTTGGCCACAGAGGCTGAGCAACTTGCCCAAGATTCCCTCTCTGCTTAATAAGTGGACTGTAACACCAGGTACCCTGTCACTCAACCTAGCTCCTTCCTTGTATTAAAGCAACGGAAGGAGAGCGGTAGAAAGGGTTGCTGTGTCACTGAAGGGCCAGAATGGTAGTAAATGTGCCAAGACCAAAGAGGGAGGAGCCCTTTAATAAGCTCTCAGCCAGTTTTCCCACCACCAGTATTGCATCTTGAGCAGCCTCCTGACCAACAGCCCACTTAAATGACCACAGTAGAAGGAAAAAGAAGTGATAAGCTGCTCCAGCTGCAGTGACTGGTGGATCTAACATCCTTAGCCAACAAGCAGAAGCAGCTTCATAACACATTTGCCATCCCTAACTATTAATCCAAAAGCTGTGAGGTTTTGGTGAATGGGATTGGTCCAAAACCTGACCTCACTTTCATTTAATTTCATGCCAGCATTGATACACACCCAGCTGAGCAGACCTCAGTCTAACTAGTGAGCTGCTCAGACACAAAGGCGCTCTAATTACCATCCCCACGCCAAGCTGACAGGGATTTCAAGTGTTTTCATGTTTATGGAGATCGGAGAAGTGTGTTCTGTACAGCTTTCCCCACTGGTGGCAAGTACAAAATTAAACCAAACAAAAAAACCAACACATTTATTCAAAACAGGTCTTTCAGTTAAGTTAAAATCCTATAATCAGGATAGCCACGATTCCAGACACTCCGGTGCGAAGTGTAGATATGTCAACAACCACATCTGGATGCTGAACAAGCCAATGACTCTTTATAAAACTAAAACAACAAAACGGTCTCAGCGCCCTCAGAGGGAGTGAACAGTATGTTCCATGCACTTCACCATGATCACAATGGCAAAGCCTGCAGCTTCTCTATTTGGAGGGTCACATTTTCTACTCGGTTTCTTTCACTTACAAAGGCGAGCACGGCTGGGGGAGGGGCAGGGGGAGGAAATCAACTCTGTCTACCCAGGGAATTGCAGCTGTTATTGCAAATGGCCCTGGAGAGCCCATTATAAGATGCTGTGTGAGGCTGTGTCCCTTGAGTGCCTGTCACGTGGTGCATTGCTAGGCCCTCGACCTGGCCCCCAGAATAGCCTGCGCCACCCGCTTGAATAGGGGAACAGAGCCGAGGGGCTGAGGAGGGACCCTGGACCACATCTCACGACATTTTCCGTGAAAGCACGGAGCCCGAGCAGGGGCGGTGGCCACCCACAGGAAGCACAGGCTCCCGGCACCTCTCTACTTCCCCACTCATGGTGGCGCGGCGCGCGTGTCCTCAGGAGACTCAAGCACTTGCAAAACACAGCGCTCTTCTCCGAGCACAGGCAGACCCGGTTACCCTCCCTGCAGGAGTCCCGCAACACAGTGCGTGCCCAGGAAAACAGTGACCTTGAACTCTAGGAAGGGCAGGCCGGGCAGCGAAAACACACATTAGAGAAGACGGGGTTCATTCCACGACTCGCCTTACCCTTCCACCACCCAACACGCCCGCCGCCGCCTACCATACCCATCTGTGGCTACAGTCCTCACCCAGCACCCTGAAAACTGCAGTCAGTTGCAAAGAGAGAGCTGAGGAAAAAAAGGTTACTCCTATTCAACCCCAAGAGAGTGTTTTCGTAGTACCACATTTTCTATATTAAAACCAATACCCCCCAAAGTCACGAGATGATATTTTAAGTGTCGTAAAATTTCGAATCCGGTTGATTGGGGTAGATTCCTGAAATTATCGTCTACTCTTGTCCCCTTCTCTCGAAGTGGATCAGGAACCAGCCCTGAAAAGGTAAAGCAAGTAACTGGGACCATGCTCCCGTCGTTGTGAAGCTTGGCGATCCTGAGAAGTGTGGCCCGTGGCCACGTGGTCACCCGGCTGGCCCCAGAGGCTGCGCGGAACCGCACACTGCGCAATCCGGTCACGGGTCACGCCAAACAAGGAGTCCTACTGAGTGTGAGCTTGGGGTGCGCTCTGTAATATCTGCCTTAAATAGGGCTAATGAAATCCTGGATTGGGGCCCTCGACCTCAGTTCCCCACGAAGACATTGGCGATTTTTTGGTTCCCAGTCTTCATTAACTTATTTTTTTCTACTTCTGAAAGCGAGAGTTCTCCACTAGTCTGAACAGGGTCGCAGCCCTCGAGGGAATCCCTTGTCCCATAGTCAGAGGCTGGCGCTGTGACCACCTTGGCTGTTAGCTTCCAGGGACAAGAACGCCGTCTGTGGCTCTGAGTTGCGCCCTCCTCCCGGACGCACCAGGATCACTGCAGGCCGCTCTAGGGCTTCGGGGTGAAGGGGGCTCGTGCACTGGAGCCGACAGAGGACCCAGGAGCGGGTGTTGGGGAAGCTTTGCGTGTAACTGCAGACGTCGCGAATGAAGCCTCCTGACTGCCTCCTTGATGAGGTTTCCCGAGAGCACGAGCTGCTGCAGGAGTCGGTGCGGATCCTCGTCGCCAGTGCAGGTGTCGGGTTGGGACCCGCGTCGCTGCTGCAGTCGGCGGGACGCGGCAGCACTCCGTAGCCATCCTCGCCGGCACGGGCCGGACAGAGGCTGCGGGATGCCCTGTTTGCCAGCTCCGGGAGGCCCATCAAGGCCGGGCTGAGAGGACAGTGGGGACAGCGCGCTTGGGCCTGAGGAGAGCTCCGCCACGCAATAGGGCGCAGCGCGACCTCGCACGCGACCGCGGTCCCCGAGGGCGCAGCGTAGGGCTCCTGGGGGCGCTAGCCCCCCAGCCTCGGCGGACACGGGCCGCAACAGCAGCGGAACGGCCGGGGACAGGGCCTTGTCTGCCGGCAGCGCCACCGGGGGCTGCAGCGGCGGCCCCGGGGGCACGCACCGGGAAGCCGGACTGTCGTGCGCCGCGTCCAGCTGCAGCGTTTGGCCGATCTGGGCCACCAGTCGGTCCACCTCGCCCGAGCCTTCCAGCGTCACCGACTGCTTCAGCAAGAGGAAGCTGTCGTCGTCCTCCTCCTCCTCCCCCTCCGCTTCCTCGCCGGCTTCCTCTTCCTCCTCCCTCCGGCACGGCATGGTCCCCTCCTGGGCACCCAAAGCTCTGCGGGCGTAGCTGGGGGCTCCTCTACCGGCGCGTTTGGCGGGCCGCGGCACAGGTGGGCCCGGGCCGAGGTTGAAGTCGGGGCCGGGGCCGGGGCCGGGGTCGGGGTGACGCGAAAGCCGGGACCGGCCAGGCTGTCGCGCCGCGCGCCTGCAGCCGGGGAGCCGGAATCCTGCCGGCTCGGGTTGATTTGTAAACAATGGATGACGTCCGCGGGCCCTACCACAGCGCCGAGCCGGGGGGCGGTGCGGTGCCCTTCGTGGGTAGGGTTCCTTTAGGGCTGGGGTCAAGAGTGAAGCCTTGCTGCCTCTGCGCGCTACAACTCTGCCTCTGTTTGTGCGCGTGCAATGGAGTGCTGATCGTGGCTCCCTCAGCTGGACGTGATTGGCATTCCAGAAGATAGACACCCTGGCGGACGCCGTTGGTTTCTTCCACACACAAGCACATACACTTCCACACACTTCCCTACACTCCTCCTCTCCGTACGTCAATTCGTCTGGTTTTAGCATTTGCGCTTTTGAGGTCAGGTTGCCGGCGTCAGGCGAGGGTGGCAAGGAGAGGGAGTCAGACTAGGAATCTGTGTGCCAATTATGGAAACGAGGCTGACAGACACGAAAGGAGGAAGGGGACCGTGTCCTGCGATGGGGGTGGTGGAGTTGGAAATGGCAAAGAAAGGCCACAGATGAATGTTTCTTGACTGGGAGCTTGGGAGTGTGGGGGCCTGGACTGGGATTGGCATTGCTGGAGAGGAGGAGATTGCCCGTCTTTGGAGGAACTGTGAGCTGTAAAGTTTTTAGAAGAACGCATTAATCCAGTGGGGAATATCTACCCTGAGGGGTTAGCAAGAGAGGAAAATGAGGTGTTTGGATGAAAATGAAGCCACAGGCCATCTTAACCCTTCAAGATACCGTGGTTGATTTAATGGTTAACCGAGACTTTATTTCTTTTTCCTTTGTTCTGGTGATTGAATCCAGAGGTGTTTTACAAGTTAGTTACATTCTCAGTCCTTTTTATTTTTTATTTTTGAGACAGAGTGTAAGTAAGTTGCTTAGGGTCTCTCCAAGCTGCTGAGGCTGGCCTGGAACTTGCAATCCTCCTGCCTCAACCTCCCGAATCTCTGGGTTTATAAACGTGCATCACAGTGTCTAAGATTTCCTTTTTTTTTTTTAATGATAATTTTTAATTTATTGATTTTCAGTTCTAGAACAGAATCCAGGGCCTCAAGTATGGTATGAAAGTGCTAAGTGTTTTACCAGTGAGCCATACATACCCCTAGCCCAAGACTTCATGCTTCAAAAGGAAAAAGGACAGAAAATAATCCTTTAATGTCACGTTGTGTTGAAATCTTTAGACCTTTATTAAAAATCCCAAATTCCCCAGGCATACCTTTCAAACACTATGCTTTTAAGTAGACTTGGTGGGCCAGTGTAAGTAGGGGCCTAGCCAGTGAGTGTCATTATTATTACTGGACTTGCAACTACTCAGGGTACTGAACATTTAATAGCCAGCAGGCAATATAGCAAGATCCTGTATATAAATAAATAAATAAATAAAAGTCAGCCAGGGGAGAGAAATTTATCAGGGTGATGAAAAATATTCTTTTTTTTTAATTTGCCTGGTGCTGGGGATCAAACCCAGGGCTTCATGCATGCAAGGCAATTGCTGTACTAGTGAACTATAGCCCTACCCCAGAAATATTATAAATTTCCCATTTACCAAAAAAATTGAGTGAATAATTAAAATTAAAGAATTGTGTGTGTATGTATGTGTGTATATATATATATATATATATATATATATATATATATATATATATATAAATTGTACATCAATAAAGTTGTTTTAGCTGGTGTGGTGGTGTACCCCTGTGGTTCCAGTAACCTGGGAGGCTGAGGGAGGAGGATTGCAAGTTTAAGACCAGCCTGGACAATTTAGTGAAATCCTACCTCAAAATGATAAAAAGGGCTTGGGATTGCTGGGTATGGTGGCCCACACCTGTAATCCCAGTTGCTCGGGAGGCTGAGGCTGGAAGATCTCAAGTTCAAACCCAGTCTTAGCAATTTAGCAAGGTACTTATCAACTCAGGGAGACCCTATCTCCAAATAAAATATAAAAAAGGGCTGGGGATGTGGCTCAGTGGTTAAGCACCTCCCAGGTTCAATTTCCAGTACCCCCCCCCCCCAAAAAAAAAAAGGTTTGGGATGTAATTCATTGGCAAAATGCCCCCTCAGTTCAATCTCCAGTACTAAAGAAAAAAAAAATTAGCCCTAAGGCAGTCATACAGAGAAGCCAACTAGGAAAGTGTGGGCTATGTACAAGTTGTAAGGAGCTCTTTAAAATTTAAAGGGGCTCCTTTAAAAAAAGAGGAGAGTAACATGACATAGAAAAGGAAGTGTAATAGGGGATACAGGTAAGTCGAAAACAAACATCTTGGTGGACAGTTCAAGGATGAGAAGTACAGGAGCAAACTTTAGGAAGGGGTGAGATGGAGGAAAGTGGGGGGCTGGTTCAAAAAGAGCTGGTTTATTTTTGTCAAGAGGGAGGGAACAGGGCTGGGGTTGAGGCTCATTGGTAGAGCACTCACCTAGCACATGCAAGGCCCTGGGTTCGATCCTCAGCACCACATAAAAATAAATAAGTGAAAGAAAGGTATTGTGTCTAACTACAACTAAAAAATAAATGTTAAAAAAAAGTGTGGAGGGAAGAATGTGAAAACAGAGGAAAAGGGTTTTGAAGAAAGTCATTGAATTTCTTTCTTTTTTTTTTTTTTTTTGTGGTGCTGGGGATTGAACCCAGGGCCTTGTGCATGGGAGGCAAGCACTCTACCAACTGAGCTATATCCCCAGCCCAAAAGTCATTGAATTTCTAAATCTAGGATATCTGGACTTTTTCGGGTTTTCATAAAAACCATCATCTCGTTTTAGTGGATTCCTTAAGATTTTCTATATAAGAGATCACATGGCATTCACAGATAGAAATAGTTTTGCTTCCTTTCTAGTCTGGATGCCTTTTATTTTTCTTAACTAATTGTCCTGGCTATAACCTCTAATAAAATTTGAATAGAAGTGGTAAGAGCAGACATCCTCATCTTGTTCCTGATCTTAGGGGACAGCATTGTCTTTCATATTAGGTATGGCGTTAGCTGAGGATTTTCCATAGATAGATGACCTTGAATCAGGTTGAGGACATTTACTTCCATTCCCAGTTTGCTTTTCTTTTTCTCTTTTTGTCATGAAAAATTCATTGCTTCATCTTATTTATGAATTTGTTTATTTTTCCCCATCCTGACATGTTGTTCAAGAGTATGGTCAAGCAGCTGTTTACTGATTATGATATTCAGAACCTTCAGAACTTAATTATGTAAACTTTTGAAACGGGATGGGGAGGTGAAAAAAAATAAAATTTTAAGATGAAAATAATTATTTATACCATTTGTGTTTTTATTCTCTGACTCAAAATTTGTCTCTTACATCATTATAGGCATGAAAAATGAAAAATAGCATAAACATTTGGAAAAAATATACAACTAAACATGAACCTACCCTGAACCATGATTCTACTCCTAAATATTTATCCATATTTGTACATGGGGTCTACATCAAGGCTTGTAGGCACGTGATCACAGCAACTTTATTGATAAAAGCCAAAAAACTGGAAACAAGTGTTCACCAATAGATAAGCAACCTAGGGAACATTCATACCTTGATGATGACAGAATACAATTTAGCAATAAAGAGTCCTGAATATTGCTATACTTAGAAATGTGGATGAAGCTCAAACCAGAATGCCGAGCAAAAGAAGCCAGAGGAAAAAAGAGCATATACCATATGATTCTGCTTATATGAAGTTCTAGAACAGGCAAAGTGATTTATAATGGGAAGAAAAGCAGAAGATTGATTACATTTGGAGAGGGTAAGGCAGGTGAGATGGAAGAAGCATGAGGGAAATTAGGGGAGCTGATGGTGATATTCTATATCCAACTCTCTTGATTTGGATATAACACAGAGCCCTGTGTTAAAACTCATCACATGGTACATTTCAATACATTACAAATTTTACATGCAAAATAAAAACTGCAAACAAATATTGAATTCTAGTTAATAGATATGCTGATGAGCTTAGAAATGAGATGATGCTTGCAATTTAGTCTGAAGTACATGAAAATGTGAAATAGATTAATACATGGATAGAAGGATGGTTAACAGGTAGTTTGGTGATAAAGCATGTATAGCAGATTATTAATATTGCAAAATGATCCATCAATTCCACTCCTAGGGATATCCCTAAAAGAACTGAAATCACACATTTACACAAAAATGTGTACACAAACATTGATAGCAGCGTCATTCATAATGGCCAAAAAGTGGTAATAACCCAAATGTTCATCAGTTGATGAATGGATGAATAGAATGTCATATATTCATAGAGTGGATTATTAGTGAGCACAAAAAGGCAGAGAGTGTTAATCCATGGCCCAACATGGATGAACGTGCTGAATAATAGAAGCCAGGCACAAAAGCCAACATATTTATATGAAATGTTCAGAATAGACAAATCCATAGAGACAGAAAGTAGATTAGTGGTTGCCAGGGGATGGGAGGAGAAGGGAATTAGGACTAACTGTTAATGGGTATGGGTTTTCTTTTTGCAGTGATGAAAATATTCTGGAATTAGTGAGGATGTTTGTATCACATAATGAATCTACTAAAAATCACTGAAGTGTGTACCTTAAAATGGTGAATTTTACGTTATGTGAGGTAAATCTCAACTTTTTACAAAATGTTAATGGTAGAATCTAGGTGCTCGTGGTGGGCAAGAGGGTGTTCACTGTCAAATTCTTTTAGTTTTGTTGACCATTAAGATTTTTGTAATCAAATGTTAGGATCAGCAAGCCTCAGAAGAGGGATTAATTGTGTGACACTCTTTAGGGGCATTGATACTGGCTGTTGGGAAGGGAAGAAGGGAGGAAGGGGGAGTGTCCACCTACTTCAAGGTTGGCAGATGCACACAGGGGACTTATGTAGGCTCACACTCCAGGGGGGAGAGGATGTTGGTATCTGCTACGGTTGACTAAATGCTGTGCTATGAAGGATTTCAATCTGTATTGGGAGGATAAGACACAAATGTTGGCAAAGCCAGCAGCAGCCCTG